AGTATGGTTTTCACCTATCTTTGCGCCGTTCAACGTTGCTTGACTCTCACTAGCCTAATTTAGTCATACTTTTAATTTGTTTTAAAATTTACCTTAAAATTAAAGAGCCGACAAAAAAAGCGCCTGTTTTTTTGGAGTTTTTTATTGATTAGTTTTTAAGTTCATTTTCAAATATTATTATCACCTTTAAGATTTTCTTCCTTTCATAAAAAAAAATATTTTATTAATTGCCACTTATTACTTAATCTTTCATTAAAACAATTGCGTTAAATGTTGTATCTCTCTTCTCGAACTTGTGTTTTTTAATTCCAAGCTTTTAATTCCAAGTTTCCGATGTGACGCGCCAATTAATTAATTATCTAAACTGATAATTGATACATCTGTCAGATAAAACTTTCGCCTGTAAATGTGTATGCATATATCATCGTATCTTAACAGAAATCCAATGATATAGGTGCGCGTAAAAATTCGGTTATTCTTCTCTTCCTTTAGGGAAGTTCCCTATATTAAAACAGTTGATTGGAAAAAATCAATATTCAACAAAATAAGATTGACCTCTGCCATTAAACTCTTAAAAATCGTACAGCAATCAACACACACACTTAACTATTCGAATCATAATTGGATTCGAATGTGTGGCGCTCAGTTCTGGAAATTGTACGAGTTGTTCAGAGATATATATAATAAAATCTACACTGAGAAAAAAATGCTGTTGATTCAATTAAAGTCTATATTACGGGCTGTCGCTAACATAAGTAATTGATTCATGTATATTTTTTATTAACATAAAGGCCTTATTATTGAAATAATAATTTATGCCTTTTTATGTCAATAAAAATATACATGAACTAATCACTTATGTTAGTGACAGCCCGTAATATATACTTTAATTGAATCAACAGCATTTTTTTCTCAGTGTATTTTTACTTAAAAAATATTTAATCCATTTTCAAGAGTGCTATGAACGCCCCAGTGCAATGAAAAAGTGTAGTCGCGTTTCTAATTCCTTCTCTTTTGGATGTCACATGCATTCTCGTACATGAGTGGGAGAGATAATATAACATAATAAAAAGCGAGATATCTCCGATTTGATTCATATATAGATTACAAATGCGATCTGAGTATTAAAGTAAACGTAAAAAAGAACAAAAATTATTAAAGAATTTATAAAGATGTGTGAACGAATAGCAGCAACCAATAACAGCAAGGTAAGAACATATTAAAAAAAAATATTTAGTTTGTTCATAAAAAATATATTTTTAAACAATATATTTATGACCGTATATTTGAGAAACTCAATTAATATTAGGGTGTAACGGCCTATTACGGTTGGAGCTGGATCTTCGTTGCTTTAAAATAATTCAAATATATTTTTGTTGCATTTATTAAGACTTTATAATTAAAAATTGCTAATACTCTTCATTGCTAGAATATTTGCAAATTTCTTGTTTCACATAATTCACGTAAAAATTCTTTTAAAATTCTTACAATTCAATAATTTTTAAAATAATTCATATCAATGTACTTTATCGCATAATGAAAATACATGATATCTACTTAAGATGCAATCATCTAAATATAAAGAAATATCGAGCACCTATACTGCATCTATGTATACAGTATTTTTATATTTATATATGGATATTATAACCAAGAACTCGGCAACTTTTGTAATATCTTAATAATCGAATTTATTTAATTACATTTATATTATTTATAATTTTAAATAATAATTGTAATATCATTAAAATTATTCATCATTTGCATTAAGTCTCCATTTTAATTCCAATAATTCAACAATTTCTCGTTGTTTATTAAATAAAAATTTAATGTACCAATTAATGTGCTTATTTATTATACTTTTATTAAGCTTTTAATAACATGGCACCAATATTCCTATTTTATATACAAATAATTTCTTAATTAATTAACATTCTTCTTATTCATATATTTTGAATAAACATTTAAATAAGCAATAAGTAATATTTTTTAAGAATATTTTTAATTTAAAAATATATATATATATATATATATAATCTTACCAACAAACATCTATATAAAAATTATTCAAAGAATAGAAGATTTCCTAAAATAAACATTTGTTATTTTTAGTTTTAATTTTTGCATTTCTTTTAAAAATTCTGTTTAACTGTCGCGTGGATTAATATATTATTGTAAGTAATATAATTTTATGTAAAAAACTCCAGAAACTCCATTATCACGATGCTGTTCGTGAATTCAGAATAGAAGACAATATTCTAATAGGAAAAGAAATACCAATAAATAGAGAACCTGTTAATATATCCGAAGTGTTACTTAAAACGTTGAAGAGCAAACCGAACTGCATCGGCCAGGTATTTTAACAAACATAATTTTCACTGACTCTATTAATGTAAAACAATTATATCGCTAATTTCTAGAGTGTATACAACTTTGCGTAAACAAGGATTTAAACATGCAGTTCAAAACCTTTTACTCTATAGGTGGATGCACTTTCTGGTGAACAGGACACTTATGCCGATATGAGTGAGCGCAGCATTAAATGCGCCCTTTGGCTACAGAAGCAAGGCGTTAAGCCCGGAGATATAATTGGTCTTTGTTGTGATAATGACATGAACGCAATCATAATTATGTTGGGCACTATGTACATAGGTGCTATATCTAATCCTTGGGACAACGATTTGTCTCCAAGTATGTATTTCCTGTATGTATTCTATTTTATTGCAGATATAATCGTGCTATAAAATCATATGTATAGAATAAGTTAAGAAAAAGTTAAAGATTTTCAAGCAGTGTATATATGTGATTATTATTAATAATACAATTGACTGTATGGTTAAAACATTTATATAGTTGTCCCAAATAATGATTATAAATTATAATTAAATTATGGTGATTGCAATTACTTTTTCTTTTAGTGAAATGTATGCTTTGTATGATCAATGTAATAAATTTAATTTAATAATTTAATACTGAACTAATTGTTCGTTCAAGATTTATGAGTTATACAAGTAAACCATACACACATTATTCACCCATTTAATTCTATTCATTTACATTTGTTTAGTGACAGCACGATATTTTCTTTCGTTAACATCACCAAAAATAGTTTTTGCGATGCCTTCATTGGTTCCGATTTTAGAAGAAGCAACGAAAGAGTTGCAAATGAATATGAAAATAGTAGTTTCCCATAAATTAAATGGATACACATCCGTGGAGGATATCTTGAGTGGTCACGATATTAACGAGATCATTGAATTTAAATGTGCCAAGATCAGCAACCCCGACGATGTTGCTCTCATCTCTCTCTCATCAGGTACTACGGGCATGCCGAAGGGTACCGAGATATCGCATTCATCTTTATATAATTGCTTACTTCCCGAAAAAGTTACGGAATTAGAAGGCCATACTTGTCTCTGGACACACACATTGCGTTGGCACTACGGGGTCCAGTTGGCATTTCATGCCATCTTAGCGTATTCGACAAAAATTCTTGCACCCTGTAGCATAATATTTAACGACGACGATGAAGCAATATGCCGGTTTATCGAAAAATATCGAGTAAGCTCTAGCTAATGATTCCGCAATCTGCTATAAAACTAACTTGGCAAATAATAATTAAATGGAGATTAATCTTGCACTTTAACTTTAAGGTAACATGGTTTTCCATCGAACCAGGCATGCTAATCCGATTTTATAAGAGCGATTTATTGGAGAAATATAAATTGCTGACTTTGAAAGAAATAATGAGTACTGGTGCTAATTTAGGAAAGGAGCATTGTCTAGCTTCGGCAAAGAAATTACCTCATGCTTTCATTACGACTGGCTATGGTATAAGTCAATTTGATTTACAAGTATCATATGACCCTAAATATTTCATATCATGACACTAAATATTTCATATCATTCTTCATTTCTCGTGGACTTATTTACTATTATAATAATATATTTTTGGAAATATTAACATCAACTTAATGTATTAATATTACCTTCTATTATTTCAAAGCAATAATTAAAAATAAGTTTTAAAATTATCAAAAATATTAATACTAAATTTTAATAAATAAAAAATAGTTCTTTACTCAAATAACAAAAATAAAATAAAATAAAGATATCAACAAGAAAAAAAAATCATTATAAATTTATTTTAACAAATAAATCTTTATAAATTTATAAGAAATCAAAATAAATTGATTTTTTACACATATTTAAAATAATATTTAAGATAATATTTATAATGGCGTTTTCACGTGATGATTCTTGACGGTATCATATTATGTCATATTATATAGTTATAATAAACATCGTTTTTAGGATCTACGGACTCAGCAGCTGATGTAACCGTTATGATCAAGGGTTGCAAACCAGGATCTATTGGTTTTGTCGCACCCAACGTTCGAATAAAAGTGACGGATGTAGAAACTGGGAAAACTTTGGGAGCTAATCAAAATGGAGAACTACGTTTGAAACTGCCTTGCATAATGAATGGTTATTATAAGAGACCTGAAGAGACTAAACGAGCTTTCGATTCTGACGGTACGTAGTAAAGAGTAGATGGGTGGGACCATATCAGTCCCTATATGTCTGAACCTAGTTAAAGAGTCATCTAGATCTAAAGAGTTCTTCTGTGACTCCCGTTAAGTCAGTACGGATTGCGAAATTATCCTTATATACGGTACGCAGAGTTTGAACTTGCGACCTGTCGGTTACAAATCCGTCGCTCTAACACGGAGCCACATGACATTCTGACGATGTGTAACTAATCGGAATGTCACGAAATTTAGGAAACCATTTAGCAATTTTGACTCTAATATAATTATAACGGTATTGTAATGGAGAGCTATAAATGAATACACACAGAAATAAATATTATTGTACATATAAATAATAAATATTCTAAATATTATTAATAATAATATAATAATAACCACTTATCCAAGGAACATATCAAGTTAAGAAAAAATAACTTTATTTTAATGTCATGAAATTCAAAAAGATGACTTTTTGTTACAAAATTTGACTGTTTATTGACGTTAAGAATCAAAATAAGATTATTTTAATTTTTTTACCTTTTTGATGTTCCTTAGGTAGCCAAAATTTTTTATATAATTACAAAATATGAAATGTATGAATAAAATGCAAATATTAAAATTTGAAAATATTTATGAATATAAAAAAGTTGAAGACAGTAGATTTGCAAATAAAAAAAAAATAATAATGCACAACTAAAATGACTTCGTGAAAACGCTTTTTTAAATACAGATAAAAATATAAATTATTAAACCTTAAACAAAACATTTCAGGTTGGTTACTTAGTGGCGACATAGGATATTACGACAATGACGGAAATGTTTTCCTCATCGATAGAATATCTGAATTTATCCTCTTCTATGGTATTAATATTTCTACCACAGAAATCGAGCACGTTTTGAAAACACATCCCGCGGTATCTCAAGTAGCGGTAATAGGAATACCACACGAAATTGCGGGTCAACATCCAATGGCTGTCGTTTCTCGAATGTCGAATAAAACGGTAAAAATCGTAAAACGGTCATATCCATTCCCGGTAATGAACATGAAAAGAACGACTATCGTATTATTCAAAATTCATATTCACATAATTTCATTGTAATCGTGAAAAAATGTTTCAATTATAGGTAACGGAAGAGGAGCTCCATGACTTGGTAGCGAAGAACCTACCGGAATATTGTAAGCTTCGCGGTGGAGTTAAGTTTCTCGACAAACTCCCACGCACAGCTACAGGCAAAATCGCGAAGAAGCAACTGCGAGATATGTTTGTGAATTAAAATACTACTGCACATGTACAAATTACACACAATAGTAGATTGTTACATCATTTATAGAAAATATTCAGATTGCTTAATAGTAACAATATTGACTAGAAAGATATAAATTTTTATAGCGAGATATGTTAAATAAACGAAAACGTAAAAGGTTTTTCTTATATGTTGAATAACGTGTATAAAATTATCTAATTTTTCTTAAATAAAAATTAAAAAATATAAAAACTCAATATAATGCAAATTATATTATCGAAAAATAAATAAAAATATCATTACGCGTGAAAATATAAATAGAAAATTAAAAGTTTCCCCTACTATAATAAAAATTAAAGTCGAAAATTAACGACTATCGAAAAATCTCCACAGACATTCGAAAATTGTATTCTGCTAGATGCAACAGACGGTGGAAGATTTTATCCACCGACGATTACTTCTGATTTATATACTACTATCATATCTCTGGTCTTACGCCTCGTTTATATAGAAATTTAATGTAATGCTCAATATTTGAGAATACGTTATTATTTCGTTGATACTGAAGACAAGAAAAATTATGACCGAAATGTTTGTAACCGTCAATTATTGTGAATAATACACACTTATCATCCAGTGTCGACTTACATTGGCTTGCATTTTTTCCTCATTTCGATTTATTTCTTTGAAGCTTTTTTATTAGAGATGTACTATATTATTAAATAATTTTGGCAAAAAAAATATCTACCAGAATTTCCAATACATAAAGAATTTTTCTTGTAGATAAATTTCAATGAAAAATATTTCTAAAAATGTTTATTTAAGATCAGTAAAAACAGATAATAAAATACGGTAACGTGATTCTCCTCTCTATATTTCAAATATTGTAAAATGCACTCCAAAGCACTTGGAATGCACTCTTTCCAGGTATTATTTCCTTCAAAAAAGATATCCCCTCTCCACGAGTTTAATAATACCTAATCTTTCTATAAAAGGAACGCGTATATATCTTTTATTTCCTTCACTCTATGATAAAACTCAGATAACAAATCCAATTGCGTCTTTTCCTTTTTACTCGTAAAATTCGTTGAAATCTAATCTAAAACCCACTATTTATATTGTTCCATGCATTGAGAAGATAAAAATTAAGGTAAAAATTGGGAATAGCAATCAATTTTTTAACAGTGACAATTCAGCTGCCGTGGAAAGTACAACCAGTGATTATATGATCATTGTATAATTTATAAAAATGTGTGAACGGAACATAGCAACTGATAAAAATGAGGTAATAATTTATACTTTCGTTTTGTATTTAAAAAAATCTTCTCAAAAAGTCAATTTAATTATGCATAAGCAATTTTTTCTTTAAATTATTATTTCTTTTATTTTTGCTGTCTTCAACATTCATTACATATATACTTATATTCACAGATATTTTCAAATTTTAATGTTTACATTTTATTCATACATGTTACATATTGTAATTATATAAAAACTACAGTGCATCAAATTATTTAAGTGATTATTATTATACTATTATAAATATTAATATTTATTTATATCATTATTATTTTTAACAATAATTCACTAACGAAATTTTATCATAAAGGTAGAAGAATCAAAATTCAAGGTCAGAATCAAAGATAACATCTTACTAGGTCCAGAATATCCAATACACAGAGAATCAGTCAATATAGCTGAAATGATTCTACAGACCCTAAAAAGCAAACCTGATTGTATCGGCCAGGTATATTAACAAAAAACAGTATTCACTGTATAACTCCATATTTTTCAGTTGCATTAATTTCTCGTTACAAATGCTTAATATGTCAATTTATAGATAGACGCTGTTACGGATAAACAAACCACTTATGCCGAAATGAGTGAACGCAGTATTAAATGTGCACTTTGGTTGAAAAAGCAGGGCGTGAAATCAGGCGATATAATTAGCGTTTGCACCGATAATAATCTAGACGCGATTATAATATTGTTGGGCATCATGTATTTAAATGGCAAATGCAACACCTGGGATAATGAAATCTCCTTAAGTGTGTAATCTAATATATTAATCCTACTTCTATTATCACCATATACTAAAAAATCATATGCTATATACTATATAAAAATATGTATTATTATCTGTATTTGTTTATTCAGACGATAGTTCTTTGTATATTAAGCGTATTTTTGTATTATTTGGTAATTTGTTTTTATACTTAAGACAATCAATAAATATAGTCGTAAGAGAGAGAGAGATAAACCAATCACAAAGTTCAAAATTGTAAGTATAAAAATAATGATCCTGAAATAATAGAGAAAATACCAGTCAAAGACTTAAATATAGTACTATTTTAAAACTTATATTTAGAAATTTATATTTTAGTCAATTATCGGTTAAAAGCATAAAATTTATAAAAAATAAATAAGAAAAACAGATATAGTAAAACTTTTAATATTATTCAATTATATTTAATCATTTATCCATATTTCAGTGACGGCACGAAACTTTCTCTCAATGATGTCACCAACAATAATTTTTACGATTCCGTTATCGGCCGCAAATTTAACAAAAGCAGCAAAGGAGTTGAAAATGAATGTAAAAATAGTGGTTTTTGGCAAGTTAGATGGATATGAATCAATAGACGATATTTTGAAGGGTCACGATAATCGCGAAATTTTCGAATTCAAATGTACTCCGATTAGTAACCCGGACGAAGTTGGTATTATTGTTCCTACTTCAGGTACCACGGGTATACCAAAATGTACTGAAATTTCACATTCTTCTCTACATAATTGTTTATTTTCTACAAATATTGCCGAAACGAAAGGTCACGTTTGCGTATTTACACCGACAATACGCTGGCACTACGGCATTATACTTGCATTTAAGATCATTTCAACATATTCAACCAGAATTGTTGTATCAGACTGTGTGACAGACGACAATACCAATAATATATACAAGTTCATTGAGAAATATCGAGTAAGTAAGAATTCCTAAACAAATTTCTGATGCCTAATTTAATACCTAATTTTAGAAATAGAAATAAAATTGAAGAAATAATTTTAATATTTGACTGTAACTTTTAGATAACGTGGTTTGCTTCTGACCCATTCATTCTAATCCAAATGGTTAAAACGAATATATTAGAGAAATATCGATTGACAACATTAAAGGTTATTGTTACTGCTGGTTCTATTTTCCTAAGACAATATCAAGAAACATTGACTAAAAAATTACCAAATGTTTTAATTAAGAACTCTTATGGTAAGTTACTAAATTTAATTTCAAAAATTACGAAACGATCCGCCTTTTTCCTCGCGCGCAAATCAGTTAATTTTTTAATTAGTCACATTAAAGTATATGTAACTGGTTTTCTAGAAGTGTCTATTACGGATATAATATTTACGTTTTTTAATTAATTACGACATTAATTAATTAAATGTTAGAAATTAATTATTTATATTTAAAACTGATAAGTAAATAATACGTAAAATATACTTGTCCCCATTATCTTGTTAATATGATGGATGCATTAATATTTCGTGCCAGGATCTACCGATGCAGGAGGTATTTTTTCCAGTCAAAACAAGTACAGTAAACCAGGATCTGTTGGTTTTCCTTTACCTAATGTTCAAATAAAGGTGACGGATACACAAACCGAAGAGGTCTTGGGGATTAATAAAGTTGGAGAAATACGTATTAAAATTCCCTCTGTAATGAACGGTTACTACAAGAATCCCGAAGCTACCAAAAAAGCTTTCGATTCTGATGGTATGTCTTGGATGCTCGAACAAAACTTTCAATTAGCAATACTAACATTTAGATAACTAAGAACTGCAATAAAAGAATAATAAATAGTCAAAATGTACAATATTTCAGGTTGGTTACGCTCTGGCGATTTAGGATTTTATGACGATGACGGAGAAATCTTTATCACCGGCAGAATATCGGATTTCATTCTTTTTAGAGCAATCAATGTCTTACCCACTGAAATCGAAGCTGTTTTACAGACTCATCCTGCGGTATTCCAAGCGGTGGTAATAGGAATGCCTCATGAAATCGATGAGCAACATCCAATGGCTATTGTCTCAATCATGCCAGGTAAAACGGTAGGTACCGCTCATTTTCAATTATATTAAATATAAAGCCAATAAAACAATAACTGCTTTTGAGATTTACATGAAATTTACGCAGCAAATACTGTGTTTATTTATTTATCAAATGTTCCGTTTACAGGTAACAGAGCAAGAGCTAATCAGTTTAGTGGAAACGAATCTGCCGGATTACTGCAGAATTCGGGCTGGTGTCAAATTCGTAGATAAATTTCCGCGTACAGCTACCGGCAAAATCGCGAAGAGACAGTTGCAAAGTATGTTCGTAAATTAAATTATACAATGTGCGTATGAAAAGTTCTGGAATGGCTAATTATCTCAGAAAGTATTGGTTTATTGGAAAAGTGTTTCATACAAAAGTTGTAGGCAACAAATGCATCAAACGGCAATACTTATTTGATCTTGAACGCAAGTATGGAGAAATTCTCAAAGTCAACTTTAAAATTTTTAATGGAAACTCTTACTTTTTCTTCAATATTCTTGTAGCTGACAATTAATAAGATCTTTTCAAAATACTATAATAAAACTCCTTAGATAATTATTACCTGAATATATTTTAAAGATTCATTAATATAGATACAATCTAATTCACCATTATTTTTTATAAAACTACGGTTTAGAATTCTAAAAACCGTAAGATATTGTTTAAAATGTTCTTCGTGTTAGATATTTAACATATCATTTTATTAAAATATATATTTGTTAACATTTGATGCATTGGCCTAGATTTTGTTTAACTGTTTGTCGCAATTTTATTTCATATTTTTAGAGAAACAATTCAAGGTATCAACATGTGCTTGATATATTCCATATAATAATCTAACAAGTCGTTATGTAGCTATCTTTAGCAACAAAACAAGATTATGTTACACTTGTCGATCTGTTATATTATTGCTGATGTTTATCATTAATAGAAAAAATTGTCATTGTTTATTTGCCAGA